GCTCAGCTTTTGGTAATTAGGACTAAGGCGTGGTTAAGGCACAGAAGTATATTTTCCTGGAAACCAGCAGTCTTCATTTGCAACTTTTATTGGCAGACCTGGCTGCCAGCGAATGCATTTCTTGGCATCTCCCCTAACGCAGTTCCCTTGATGAAGGGCCTTGCGTTTTCTGTACCTTGTGTCCATTCAAAGGGGCCGCCTGGAAGGAATGTGTGGCTGAATCCCAGTCCCAAATCTCCTCCGGCCCCAGGGACAAGAACTTTCCGGCTGGTGCCTGGGAGTCCGAGCGCTCCCCGCTGGGACCTCGGGGAGGTGAGCGCATTTCCTCGGGGAAATGGTCAGGCCCTGGGGACCCCTCCAGCGGCTCAGCCTTCCCAGGACCCCCGCCCCAGGCTCGCAGGCCTGGAGCCCGAGGCCTAGGCGAAGGGGACAGCGGGGCGGGCGGCAGGGGGCGCTCGCAGTTCACGCAGCGCCCGTCTGTCCCCGGCCCCGAGGCTCCAGGTGGCGCGGGAGTCTGGGCGGCGAGCGCCAACCCGGCAGCCCCGAGGCCTGGGGCTTCCAGCCTCTTCCCTTCTTTTCTGCGGAAAGGGGCGGAAAGGCGGCAAAGGTCGGAAAGGGCGCGGGGGGCCGCCTCCGCCGCAGACCAAGCTCGGCCGGCCACCAGGGGAGCCTCCGGCGTCGTCCCGGCCACACCGTGCGCCCCGGCCGGGCCCGCAGGCGCGGGGTGCGGGGCTGACCCGGGAGGCCGGTGCGGGGGACCGGCCACGGGGAGCAGCGGCCGAGCCCGCGCCGCCGGGCAGGCCGGACCGAGCGCGCCGAGGCCGGACAGGAAGAGGCTCTCGGCCGCCCGGGCGCCTGGTCCGGGCTGGTGTCGGGGACAGCCCTGCCTGCAAGGTGCGGCGGGGCGCAGTTGCCGTCCGTAGCTCTGTCCCACGACCGACCAGCGCCCAGAACCCAGCCGCGGGGCGCAGAGCGCGGGGTCCTCTGTCCGCATGGCCACGGCCTGGGCACCCCCTCCCACGGCACGTGCCTCGCACCGGCGATGCGAGGTGACCACGAACCTGCGTGGGAAGAAGCTTGGGCGCTCTCACTAGTTTTTCCGATCACTCACCCCCTGGCGAACTTGCTTCTGACTCCAGGTTTTTAGGAAAGGGACGCCTGGGCCCTGCGCATTGGTGGCCGTCAGAGTGTGGCTCCTGCGCACACGCCGCATCGCGCCTTCCTGTGCGCTGCGCGGCCCTAACCCCCAGGGGCTGCACGCGGTGGGTGAGGAGGAGGCCACTGATGGGGCCATTTTGTCTCCTGCGTCCGGGATTAGGGAACCTGGGCACTTGGAGGATGGGCAGCAAATTATCCCATCGCACAAGCTCAGCACAGAGGGTCGCCTCTGGGAGGACAACGAGGTGGCGCAGACCGGGCCAAATGGCCCTTGTCTACGCAACAATCGGTAACGAATGCTCTTTTCGTTTCTATTCCAGCAACACTTTTCCCAACAAGGAGGTCGAGTTGGGGGCTGTGAACCCCAGCGAAGGAGACACTGATCCCACATTGTGGCCCAGACGCTGGATCCCTGCCGCTGGCCCCCACCATTGAAAGTCACACAGTGACAAATGCTACCTGTGGCCTGAGGCTGGATAACGAATGATGGGCAGGGACACCAAGGTGTCCTCCCCTGCCGGGACTATCCCGTCGAGGCCAAATGGAGACAGAGGGTGATTATCTCAATAGTTCAAAGATGCCCAGGGGGCTTTGCTGCAGGTGTGGCCCACAGAGCCTAGTGGGAAGTGTCCCCCTCGCACTTTGACGATGGTGCCTGACTGCCCTGCTGCCTATGCAGACCCAGAAGCCCTGGTCCTGAGCCGTGCACTGGCCACCAGTGCCACAGATCGGCCTCCAGGGCTGAAGCCACCGGTGCTGCCTGGGTCTGAGTGGGGAGACAGGGAAGCTCCTGGGGGTCCCTGGGAAGATAAGCTATGCCTTGGGAGTGCTGTCCCGAGCTCTGAGGTCCCTAGCCCAGCTCCTGTGCCTCTATATGGACAAACTGGTGGGGTGCGGTGGCCCATGCCTGTAATTCTGGGGTGCGGGAGGCTGAAGCAGGAGGATTGCCAGTTTGAGGCCAGTCAGGGTTACTATTGACTTAAGGCTGGCCTGGACTTGTGAAGACCGTGGCTCAGAAAGAAAAAAAAGAAAGAAAGAAAGAAAGAAAGAGAGAGAGAGAGAGAGAGAGAGAGAGAGAGAAAGAAAGAGAAAAAAAGAAAGAAGGAGGGAGGGAGAGAGGGAGGAAGAGAGAGAGAGAGAAATATTTCCCTTTGGTTGCTGGGCAGAACGCCCTCCCTCTCCCTCCCAGTTCCTTTGGTCCCCCCAGTCCCCAATCTCCACATTTCCTGCCAGGGCATCCAGGCTCTCTTCCGGGTGCCCTGGAGCCGAGGGGCCTGGGGAGGCTTCATTTTAAACCCACCCTATGGTCAGGCCCCCTCCTGAGAGAGGAGCCTTTGGTGGGAAATGGGACTCCTGCAGCGGTCAAGTGGGGGAAGAGGGGATTAGTGGGCCAGCCACAGCTCCATCCAACGCCCCTCCCAAGGTGGCTGGAGGGCCTTGGGCTTTAGCTGGACGTGTCAGGCTGGGGTCTTCGGGCATTGCTGCCAGGGAGTCAAGGGTTACAGAAGACACAGATGCCTGCACTATCTGCTCGGCCACAGACAGGAGGAATAAAAAACTTCATACTGAAAATAAAAAGTGTAACCTTTCTGTTCCTCCGAACGACTTCACGTTTTGCATCTGAGTTTTCTAACAGCAATAATAAAATAGCCAAGGGCTCGAGATACAGCCGAACCGTTTCCTGGAAGTTTGCTTCAGAATAAACTTAAAAACATGAACGCAAATATCTTTTCCTGGCGAATATCCAGCGCTAACCCAGTGGAAAGTCGATCTGTAGAAAACTGCACCCCTCCATTTTTTCCCCCGTGGGCCATCTAGTAATTTCACAACGGCGATTTTTATGAACTAAGCCTGAGTTGAGGTGCGTGGACATTCGAAGCCAGGCTTACCCCGGGCTGGCTGGGCAGCTGGAGAGGCCAAGAGGCCGGAGACGCGGGACTGGGAGGTGGCAGCCAGCACACCGTTGGGGAGGAGGGGCGGGACTCCTGCGCCCGCGTTTCCCGCACCCGAGGAAAACAGGCACGATGTTAAAGCTGCGTTCATCTTTGGACGCTGCATCGGCAGACGCCGATTTGGTGAGTGGGAACTCACCAAACGCCAAGGCGTCTGGGGAAATCACTCTGTCACTGTCCTCCAGGCCAAAGCAAAAGCTCCCTTAAAGCCTCGCCAAGGGAGCCCATGGGAGGACTGGGGTGCAGCGCCAGGGCTTTCAGGAGAGTTCAGTTTCCCAGTCTAGGGGCTTCGATCCACACTCTGCCTCCACTCCGCGCCTCAAGCACTGACACCGCCCGGGTGTTTTTCCCAGGGGGGACTCGGCCGCGGGAGCGACCTGGGAAAGGGGTCTGGAAGGACCCAAGAGCACAGCAGGCCCGAGGCAAGGGCCTGGGACTTGGAACTTCCGGCAGCCCTTCCCCCAAAGCGGACTTTTCCAACGCCCTACTTCCCTCTCCCTGGACGTCAGCTGCATTTGGACACAATGCGCGCGTCCTAACTTCCCGGACCCCGAGCAGGCCGGGCGGAAGCTAGCATCCTGACGTCCAACAGCCAAGCTGTCTTTTGAATATTTGTGCAAAAAGAAAGGAGAAAGCGGGGACCCAAGCGGGCTAGCCCTAGTTACTGATTGTCAGACATCCGGGGAGGAGGACGGAAGACACTACGCACACCCACAGTCCCCAAACTCGCAGTTTGCCCGATTTCTAGAAAAGGACTCGGGTGCAGCTCCGGGAGGGTCTTTTCCAGAACAGCTGCAAAGGAGCTGGACTGGACCACGGCGTCGGAGGCCTCCTCTCTGACTCCGCATCCTCTCCTCCCTCCGCTTCCCTTCCTACTCGCTCTGTTACCCCCGGAGGCCGCAGATCCCGGCTGTGGCGGGGAGTGGGGGTCGTTCCGTGCCTGTCCCCGTCCCAGTCCCCGGGCGCCTGCAGGTGCCACCCTGGGCACCCCGCCCCCATGCCCGTTATCTCCGGGCGGTGGAGATTGACTGGGGCTGCCCTGAGCTCTCCGACGTGTTTATTTGTTCGTCCTCGCACCTGCTAATGTCGCTGAGCAGCAGCTTGGCCGCGGTGCAGACCCCGCAGGCCCCCGAGGCCCTGCAGTGCGAGAAACGCGGGGACCCCGGGCGAGGCGACGCCGGCTTCCGGGTGTGGGGCGCGGTCGCCCCCTGCCTCGGAGGGGAAAGAAGCGTCCCAAGGGGCGAGGTGCGACCGCGGCACCTTCCCCCAGCCGGCTACGCCACCACGGCTGTGCCCGCGCCTTCGGAGTCGCGCCCTTTGTCACCGAATTCGGGGCGGGGAGCACCTCCGGGAGGGACCTGAGGCTGCCGTGTCGGCGGAGAGGGGCCGCGAGCGCGGCCGCGGGACAGGGCCGCGGGGTCGGCGGAGCGGAGGCCGGGGAGCTGCCAGGGCGCGAAGGCAGGGGCGCCCGGCAGCGCGGGGCGGGCCGGAGGGAGACGTCCCCGGCCGACAGCGGGGCGCGGGAGGCGGGAGGTCCGCGCGGGGCTCCGGGCGCGGGGAGGCTGCGGGGGCCGGGGCGTCGGCGCGGGCGGGCGGAGCGGGGGCGCGGGGACCCGGGCGGCGCGCGTGTGGCTGGCGCGGGGCTCGGGCGCTGGGCGCGGGCCGGCGCGGCCTCCGGCTCATTCAGAGGCGGCTCTCGCCTCCCATTGGCTGCGGCCGCCGGGGCAGGGCGGGGCTCAGCGGCCCGGAAAAAAAAAATGTTACTGCGTAAAAAAGTGCTCGCCGGGGTGACGGATGCTCAAAAGTTCAGGAGTTTTCCCAACGCTGCCTTCGGCGGCCGGGGCGCGCGCGGCTGCAGGACGGTGCGCGGGGCCCGGGAAGGCGGCGGCGCGGCCCCAGCCCGGCTCGGCCCTCCGCCGGCGGGAGGCGCGGCCCGGCGGCCAGGGCCCCTCGGCTCGGCCGGTTTCCCTCCGCCGGCGCCGGGCGCTGCTCCGTGAGCTCCGGGCGCGGCCGCGTCCCCGCCCGGCCTCTGCCCGCCAGCGCCCCCGGCTCGAGGCCGGCGGGGGCCCGAGGCGGCCGGCTACGCGCGGGAGCCCGAGTGAGCGCAGAGAGAGGCCGCGCGGCCCGAGTCGCAGGAAGGCGGCGGCAGCAGCGGCGGCGAGGCCCGAACTCCGTCCGGACTTCTTGGGCTCCGCAGGCGCAGGCTCGGCCCGGCCGGGCAGGGCGCGGAGCGCGCGGCGGCAGCCGGGGCCATGCAGGCACGCTACTCCGTGTCCAGCCCCAACTCCCTGGGAGTGGTGCCCTACCTTGGCGGCGAGCAGAGCTACTACCGCGCGGCGGCGGCGGCGGCCGGGGGCGGCTACCCGGCCATGCCCGCGCCCATGAGCGTGTACTCGCACCCGGCGCACGCCGAGCAGTACCCGGGCGGCATGGCGCGCGCCTACGGGCCCTACGCGCCGCAGCCGCAGCCCAAGGACATGGTGAAGCCGCCCTACAGCTACATCGCGCTCATCACCATGGCCATCCAGAACGCGCCGGACAAGAAGATCACGCTGAACGGCATCTACCAATTCATCATGGACCGCTTCCCCTTCTACCGGGACAACAAGCAGGGCTGGCAGAACTCCATCCGCCACAACCTCTCGCTCAACGAGTGCTTCGTTAAGGTGCCGCGCGACGACAAGAAGCCGGGCAAGGGCAGCTACTGGACGCTGGACCCGGACTCCTACAACATGTTCGAGAACGGCAGTTTCCTGCGGCGGCGGCGGCGCTTCAAGAAGAAGGACGCAGTGAAAGACAAGGAGGAGAAGGACCGGCTGCACCTCAAGGAGCCGCCGCAGCCGGGCCGCCCCCCCGCGCCCGCGCCCCCCGAGCCGGCGGACGGTGCCGCTTCGGGCCCGCAGCCGCCACCTGTGCGCATCCAGGACATCAAGACGGAGAACGGTACGTGCCCCTCGCCGCCCCAGCCCTTGTCCCCCGCCGCCGCTGCCGCCGCGGCCGTGCCCAAGATCGAGAGCCCCGACAGCAGCAGCAGCAGCCTGTCGAGCGGGGCCAGCCCCCCGGGCAGCCTGCCGGCCGCGCGCTCGCTCAGCCTGGACGGCGCAGACCCCGCGGCCCCCGCGCCCCCCGCGCCGCACCCCGGGCCCGGCTTTAGCGTGGACAACATCATGACGTCCCTGCGGGGGTCGCCGCAGGGCGCGGCCGCCGAGCTGGGCGCGGGCCTCCTGGCGTCGGCGGCGGCCACAGCGGCGGCGTCGTCCCGCGCGGGCCTCGCGCCCCCGCTGGCGCTGGGCGCCTACTCGCCAGGCCAGAGCGCGCTCTACAGCTCCCCCTGCAGCCAGAGTCCGGGCGCGGGCGGCGCCGGCGGGGCGGCGGGCGGCGCGGGGGGCGCGGGCGGCGCGGGGGGCGCGGGGACCTACCACTGCAACCTGCAGGCCATGAGCCTCTACGCGGCCGGCGAGCGCGGCGCCCACCTGCAGGGCGCGCCCGGGGCGGCGGGCGCCTCAGCCGTGGACGACTCGCTGCCCGACTACGCGCTGCCCCCGGCCACCAGCAGCAGCGGCAGCTCCTCGTCGCTGAGCCACGGCGCGGGCGGCCAGGACGCCGGCCACCACGCCGCGGCCCACCAGGGCCGGCTGGCCTCGTGGTACCTGAACCAGGCAGGCGGAGATCTGGGCCACTTGGCCAGCGCGGCGGCGGCGGCGGCGGCCGCGGGCTACCCGGCCCAGCAGCAGAACTTCCACTCTGTGCGCGAGATGTTCGAGTCTCCGCGCATCGGCCTGAACAACTCTCCGGTGAACGGGAACAGCAGCTGTCAGATGGCCTTCCCGGCCGGCCAGTCTCTGTACCGCCCGTCCGGGGCCTTCGTCTACGACTGCAGCAAGTTCTGACCCCGGCCCGGTCCCCGCGCCCTGCGAGCCGAGCAGAACTGAAGGGAACCCCAGGGCAGGAGCAGCCGAGAGAACCAGCCCTTCGTGCAAAAACGAAACTAAAAACATTCTATGTTAAAACCTCGAGAAACGCTCACCGCGCCAGCCAGCAGAAATCCCTCCCAAATTCAAGGCACCAGCGCCAGCTACGAGAGAAAACTGTATTTTCTTAAAAGATTGATTCAGAGCCGCTTCCACTGTGCCTTCCTAAATAAACAAAACCCTGAACTGTGCTGTCCGAGGGCGCGCAGGCACGGGGTGTTAAAGGACAGTGTTACTCCAGCTAGCACGTAAGTCTTCTTGCTTTTCAGAGACTGCTTTCCTGCCCCCGCCTCTGCTCCCTACGCTTTCCTCTCGCTTTCCTCTCCCTCGCCTGTAAGATATGTTTTCTCCTATGTCGAAGGGAGGGGGAAGTCCCTGTCTAGGAAAATCGCTTTCTTTTTATTCCTATGGACTTGTTTTAAAATGTAAATTGCAACATAGTAATTTATTTTTAATTTGTAGTTGGATGTCGTGGACCAAACGCCAGAAAGTGTTTCCAAAACCTGACGTTAAATTGCCTGAAACTTTTAAGTTGTGCTTCTTTTCCTCATTATAAAAAGGGAAACTGTATTAATCTTATTCTATCATCTTTTCTTTGTGTTGAACGTATTCATTGTTTGTTCATGAATAAATTGCCATTCAAGTTGAATGAGACCTATATGTCTGGGTACTTCCATGCAGCCTGAGTAGAAGGGAAAGATTTCAGAGATGAAACTCTAGGAGTGACCAGCGCTCCACCCAGATCTCTGAAAACTGGAGAAACCCTCCGACCACCAATCCATGTCACAATTGCGCTAAAAGCCTTTTTGCTTAGGTATTTTTTTCCTTCTACATCTTCTGCAAAATGTATTCTCTAGTTAATTTGCTTTGTGGCTAGTAAAAAGATTTCCTAAAGAGATCTGAGTGGGCGTCTACACGTATTTTTTCTTAGTAACCATAGAACGAGGCTTGAAAACGTCCAGCCGGCCGGTCGGTCCGCGGTCTTCCCACAGCGAAACCTGTGTGCGGAGCCGCGAATTTGTCCCAGATAAAATAAGCGGTCGGCTTGGCTTGTGTGTCCCACGGAAAGCTTCAGTGCTACGTCCACGCGAGCAAGATGCTGAAGAGATTTTAACCTGTTGATTCCAGTCCTTGTTAGGAGGAGAAATGAACCGGTTTTTAACGTGTGTATAGAACTCACCCACACTTACAATCCTTCATGTATTACACAGAAGGATTGGTTTTTTTAATTAAAAAGATATAAATATACCATGGGTTAGAAAGGGATATTTAATCTTTGGGAAACTGTTTTAGAAGCTATGTTTGTAGAATAATTATTTTTGGAAAAAGATTTAAAGCAATAACGAGGAAGAAGAGAAGGGCAGAATATTTTTGTCTGGGGTGGTTTCTTTACGACCCAGTTTTTCTCGTTAATTTACAGTTAAACCTACGGGGCGATCTGTTGGCCCTCCCCCGTTTTGTAAATAACCCAGGAAATGTAATAAATTCATTATCTGAGGGTGATCTGCCCTGTCAATCAGACTTTGAGGAGATGGCGATTTGATTACAGACATTTGGGGCCTTTCAGTTTGTTTTCAGATAATGCAGTTTCCTATCTGCGCTCCTATCTGGAGGCAACACTTAAGCAGTAATTGCTGTTGCTTGTTGTCAAAATTTGATCATTGTTAAAGGATTGCTGCAAATAAATACACTCTAATTTCAGTCAAAAACAGCTTTCCGTGGCCTCTGATTGCTCGTCCCCTCCCCCAGGCCGGTAACCTAATAGCGGAGGAGGACGCGGTGGGCGGTGTCCTCCCGGAGCCTCTCTGCCCCGCTGCAGTTTTGGGGCGCCGCACCCCCGGCCCGGCTGCCTGCATTCCCTGGTCGCCCCTCCACAGTGGGCGGCGCAGGGCCAGGACCAAGCCGCCAACGCCCAAGGGGAACTGGTGCGGGACGGCTCCCCGGGCTTTTTGGAGGAAGGCCTGGTGGCCAGAGCAGGGACTTGTAGGCCCGGCCAAAGAGCCGCAGCAGGTGACAGCCAGCCTGGTGGCCTGGAGCGCGGTGACCGACTCCGAGGCCCGGTAGCTGCGTACCGAGCGGTTCTCGGTGGCCTTGTGAGTAGTTTTGGGGTTCAGGGTGCGAGCGAACGGAGCCCCGCGGCCCAGCACTGGCTCCCGGCCGCGCGGCCTCCCTGCGCCCCGGCCACCCCTGCAGGACGCTTGGCGGGGACGGCGGGGCTCCTGTCCCTGCGCCCCCGCTGCCCCGCGCGCCCTTCCCGAGAGAGGCATCGTCGGGGAGAAAATTGCCTCCGCGGCGACCTCGGAGTCGGGCGAGGCCATCGCCAGCTGGGGCGAGGCGCGCGCGGTCGGGACACCGGGGCGGGGGACCCACTGCGCCCAGCCCCGGCAGCCGCTCCGTCTCCGTCTCCGTCTTCGCGGCGCCCGCCTTTGTTTTGAAGCACACGTGGGCCGGGCGGCGGGGCGGAGAGGTCAGCGCACTTCGCCACGCACGGTGGCCCCGCGGGGCTCGGTCCCGGCGCTCGCACGACCTCCGGCAGCCAGGCGGGCCTGCCCGGGCCGGCTCCCCCGCCCCGCAGCGTGGATCTGCTGAGGCTCACGGGCCGCGGGGCGCCCGGCCTTGGCGCGCGGTGAACTGGGGTGCCGTCCGCACTCCCGCAGCTTCGGCTGGCTTGGCGACCCGAGGGCGCCAGGGCGCAGGCCAGGGCCGGCCGGGGAGCCCGGGGAGCGCCCTTGGAGCAGCACTGGGACCGCTGGTTCGGGCTGGGACCCCTCCCAGACCCGCAGCCCAGGAGCCCGTGTGAGGGCGTGAGTGCGGTGCGCTGGCCTCGCGGGCCTCTGCTCTCGGCGGGGGTCCTTTCCAGGCGCCAGGGTCCCCTTCACAGCGCTTTGCCCTCTTCCATTTCAAAGTTTGAAAAATTAGGCCTGGAAGAGGCATGGGCCTAGGAGGGCGAGTGTGTCACACATCTCTGGTTACTTCTGTGCAGAGCGGAAGCTGTGTTTGAGGGGAAGGAGAGACTTACTATTCTGACCCGTATGTGTGATATTTGCGAGCTATATATTTGCTCTTGGATTCTCAAATCCAATTTACGAAAAAGCAAGCCCTGCCAACCTTAGTTAACCTGGAATTACACTTTAGTGGCTTGCAATTTGGTGTGTGCTTTTTCCTGTTAGCAAAGGAGGCTTCTTTTCTGTAAACTAGTCTTAAGACCAACTCCTAGCTCTGTTAGCTGCTAGGAGGGTGAGCGGACCAGAGGGGAGCTGGAGAGATCCACAGTGGCTGGCAGGCTGGTGAACGGGCTTAATAATCAGCGCGTAGCCCGTGTGGAGCAGTTTGTATGGCGCGCGTGTGATGCGTGCCATGTGAAATCTTGCGTTTGGCAGGTTGCAGGCGTGGCTGGAACGCGTGCTGTTTTCCAGGGTTACGTGGTTAGCAGGCCTTCTTCACTGGGGTGCAGGCAAACAAGCATGCCCTTTACCATTTATCACTGCACACAGCTAGTGTCACTAATAATCGATGTTTGCGGAGGACTAAGGGGCGATTGTCCTGGTGGCCGGTGTGAGCTTCTGGCCGCTTCCTGTTGGGTCAGAGACAAGGGTCAGGGACCGAGAGCCCTCCAGGCCCTCCGCTCCCCTCAGTAAACTGGCTGGGAAAGGGCTTGGCCCTTTTGCCTCCCTCCACACCCTGTCACAGGCTGGCAGAGGCAGCCCTGTCTTAAGGTGAGGACATTCCTTTGGTTCTTCTGGTGGAAATCCCAAGGGGCCCTGAACTCTGCTGGTTCCGTGGCCTGGCCACACAGCCCACAGGGCCAGGTGGTGCTGTCTAGGCCTCTGGCTCCCACCCTGGCATTCCTGGTGTCTTCTGGGTCCGTCAATGGTGCCCAATGCATGGCCAGCTCCCGAGCCAGTGTCTGGCAAGCTGGGCCCCACATCTTCCATCTGGAGGGGGGTCACATTCGCCTTTGAGTCCCCTGGCCCCAGGTCCTGCCTGGCACTTTAGGGCCTTGTCTGCTGCCTGCTCTCCATTCGTGTCATGGCTGGTTCACGGAACGTTCCACTGTCCCACCCTCCCATAAACAAATGTCGAGTTAAGGGTGAGATTGATGGTGTCCAAGCCATAAAAGCCAGCTGGGCAGGACAGACTGCGACTTGGTGTGGATAGGCAGACAGAAAGCCTGGGTATAGCGGGGGAAAGCAGCAGCGGAGAGCTGCAGGCAGAGAAGTTGGGAGCTCGGAAGCTCAGGGGGCTCAAGGGCAGGGGGTGCAGTTCATGCAGCCGTGAGGAGGTGCCATGGCCGGGGTGCCAGCCGAGGAAAGCCTCCCTGGCAGACACAGGTTTGTGCAGAGGGCCACTGTATGGGTGCTCTCAGGCCCACCTGCACAGAGGCCTTCCTTGCCACAGTGGGGACCTTGCTGGGCAGGCCAACCCTGAATTGCAGCATCCTCCTTTGGGTCGTGTGTCTGACCCAGCCGTGAAGGAAGCCACGTCTCTGTGCCTTCCTCCCCTTGGCTGTGTTCTTCCTCCCTTCCGTCCACCTTCTATGAGAAGGTCTCGGGCTCTAGAGTTCCCCAGAGGCCCGCTCCCAGCTCCTGTGCCACCACGGCCCGCTCTGCCCAGCCTGCCTGACAGGCCGAGATGGCCACTGCTCTGTGTCACCCAAAGTTGCACCTGGGCCTGGGACAGACTCGTGGTCACAAGCGAGGGTCACAAGCGGGCAGCGCTGGCAGGTCCGGGCTGGGGAAGGAACACTACTCCATTAAATGAACTCCAGCTCCAAAACCTACTCCGGGAAGGAAGGCTGCTTCTCCACCAACATGCTCAACCTGATTAAGAGTGGAAAATTGGGGAAAATGTACCATGTCCGTCTTGTTGGAAACCAAAATGAGACGCAGAGAGTTCGGGCTGGACGCAAGGCCTCTGCTGCCCTCCCTCACATCTTACCTTGCTTCCAGAGAAACTCTGTTTTGTATTACATTTTTTGTTGTTTACATGATTTTTTCCCTCACTGGTTTTAAATTTGGAGCACATTGAGCGTATTACAGGAGATCCAGTAGGCTCTGGAATTTCCTTGCTTTTGAGAAAGGGCACTGAGCTGGGGCTGGAGCGGCTGTCCAGGCCCTCGGCCTCCCTGGTAGCACTGCCCCAGACCCAGAGCCCAGTAAGGGCCCCCTCCTGCCTGGAGCACCTTCCTGCCCCTATACCTCCCACCCACCGCCCCCTGGGGGTCCTGGCCAGGAAGGGCTGGGTGGGCTGCTCCCGTGCCCGAGTCACCAAGGCTGCTTGTGTGGGCAGCAGGATCTGAGCCTGAGGGAAGCTCAGAGGTGGAGGCCATGGCTGGCCAGGGAGGCCTCCTCCTTGGTTGGTCTCTGCAGGGTGGGGAGGTGGGGTGGGTCTGGAGCTGGGCCTCGGGTAGTGAGGGCTTTGCGGAGGACTTCCTTGGAGAGGTGTGCACGTGTGTGTTCCCCTCCCATTACCCACTCCAGGGAAAAAGCAGGAAAACCAACACATTTAGCGCCATTAGCTCTTAGAGGCCTCTGTTTCCTTCAGGAGGAAAGCAGGTCGGGGCTGGCGGTGCGGCCCCAGTGATGGGATAGCATGAGAGGGCTGCGGGCTGGGGAGCACATGCTGGCCCGCAGTGTAGGGCAAATGACTCCAGGTTGACGTTAAGAGGAGGAACAAAAACCGCCTTCTTCAGTGAGGGATGCAGGGCACCCAGCACCACAGTGGCCGAGCGGTGGCAGCGCCCTTGAATCTAAAGACCCAGGAGTGTCCCTCTGCTTAGCCAAGCAGACCATGCTGGTCCAGCGAGAAGGCCCTGTGAGCGTGGGGCGGGGGTGTCCTGAGTCTCCAAGGCCGGGTGTCCCCACGACTGCTGTGGGCCCAGGGGCTGCCTGGAAGGTGCTGGCAACAACCTGATGTGAGTGTCTGGTGACAAAGGGGCAGCGTGAGTTCTCCACTATTCCAAGCCCCTGGGACAGACTCGTGGCTCAGTCACTGCTCAGGCGGGAAAATGGCATGACAGGAAAGCATCGCCAGAGCCTTGCCCAGGCAGCTTCCTAGCCATAAAAAGCCAGACGCCAGTGGAGGTCCTGACCCCATCCAAATATACATTCTGGCCGCTGCGGCAGCCCAGGCCTGCGGGGCCTGGGGAGCCCTAGTTCCATGGCCTCCTCAGCATGCAGCCTGCTCCCTACCTTGGGTCTGGAGGCAATGGGCCCGGGCTGCTGTGTGCGCACCAAGAGGCGGGGCAGACACAAAGGCTCTCTGATAAATGTGGGTTTTCTTCCTGGGCACCAACCCTAACCCTAACCCTAACCCTAACCCTAACCCTAACCCTAACCCTAACCCAGCAGGCCATCTGCTCCTTGCAGTGCATGCGCAAGCAAGAGGCACCCCTCAGAGCCCAGGGACACCCTCAATATGCACACCTCTCTTCCTTCCATACCTTAGCTCGAAAATCCAGAGCCCAGGGCCTCATAGAGGTCACAGAACCAGTGGGCAGGAGCATCTGGCCACTGTAGCAGAGTAGCTAAGGGGTGTACCCAGGGAACACCTTGGCTCTGGGGCCGCTGAGACCAGACCCAGGCCCTGCAGGAACCCTGGCCCAGGGCACAGCAGAGCACAGGCCCGCCAGTGCAGGGACCAGAGCCCAGTGCAGGGACCAGAGTGGGACAGCAGGAGGCGGGGGAGGGAGCTGGGGGTGCCTCCTGCTGCTACTGCTAGAGGGGCCACACCATGTCTTCTCAAAGGACACTGAGGAGTGGGCAGCTGGGGTCTCAGTGGCCCCTGCTGCTCAATGATGAAACCCTTGTTTTTGGAGAGATGCGAGTGGCATGCTAAGATGCTGATGTGTTTGTGAGAGGCAAGTGTGTGCACATGCGTGTGCGTGCGTGTACACACACACACACACACACACACACACACACAGACTAAAAGCTGGGTACCTCCCCCCAGCCATGCTGTCCCCTGGAAAACACACTGTAGGTGAACTGGGGCACCTTTGGTTACAATTTTAAAATCTTACAATTCAAAGCCTGGGCGTGTGTGTGTGTGTGTTTACAAATATGCTAATGAGCCCTACAAAGTTCTGATGATTATTTATTTATTCAAGATAAATGGGGACCTTGTTTTAAAATAAAACCTTAAAGTGTTTCTCCTCGAGAGCTTTCACAGATGGGAAGGGCTACATTTCCCCTGCGGTTTGGTAGTTGATACTGGGGAATGGGGACCACAACGGGCCCCAGCCTGGGCCTGCTCTCACCTGGCACCAGATCGGCCTGCATGGGCTGCCAGGAGCTACCTCTCGGGACTTTATCTGTCCCAGAACCTTAGCGCTTCCCAAAGGTCTTCTGCCGGCCGGAAGGGAGCACAGAGGTGTGACAGGTTTACTGCTAAGCCCCACGGAGGCCACAGAGGCCACAGAGCCCGCCTGGACCAGAGAGGGAGCCCTGGATGGAGCACACCCTGCCCTTCCACCGGTACCATGTGAGTGTCCATAGGTTTAATTTTCTAAGTCTTCACCAAAAAACCCAAAACAAAACAAAACAAAACAAAAAACCAAACCAAACAAACAACCGAGGTGGGAGATGTTTTATGGCCCTGAAAAGGAACAGCTGGGGTTTTCAAAGCAGGAAAGAGAGCAAACTGCAGAGCAAGCCCGCCTGCTGACATTTAAATTGAGATTTAAGACGGGAGAGAACCTTTAGTAAGAGCTGCCACCAAGGATGGCCACACAGATTCTCCTGAAGCACAGCACGGAGATGCGAGAAAATCCGTGCTTTGCTCCTTCTGAATATCAAGTGCGGGACAGGAAGCTGCACAAAAGCCTCCTTCCCCGACACACTGTGAGTGAGGGACAAGGGCAGGGAAGGTGGCAATTCAAACACCTCTTCCTTCAGAAAGTGGGAACCTCTGCTCCTCCAACCCTGCAGGGTCCTGGGGTGGGGCTGCAGGTGGCCGGAGGAGGGCTGTCCCTGGGGTCAAGGCTCAGAACCCACCCCAGTTGTGTGACAGCCAGGGTTCTGGTGGTGTTTGTGAGGCTCTCCCGAGGTGAGGCGATGGGTGTGAGGTGGCAGGGTGTGAGTGCACCTGTGTTTGTTAAGGAGGGAATGTGACCTGTGTGAGGATGGTGCTGGTGTATGACCCAGGTCTGTGTGTCTGTGTGTGTGTGTATATCTGTGTATCTGTGTGTCTGTTAATCTGTGTGTGTCTGTGTGTATGTCTGTGTCTGTGTGCCCACCAGCCCACTAGGTCCTGAAAGCCCAGGTCTCAGTGACCCTCTGCATCCAATTAGCAGCAGGCGCCGCTTGGGAGTGGGGACTGCGTCCTGTGGTGGCTTCTGAGCACAGAGTGGCCCAGCTCCTAGCACTGCTCTTGAGACTGCCCCAGCCAGTGGGCAGCTCGCACAGGGCCACCACAGCACACAAAGCGCCTCTCTCCTGCACTGTGCCAGATCCCGGTGCTCTGGTGTTCCGCCCACCAGAAACCTGCTGCAGAGCCGCAGAGCGCTCTCCGCCCTCACACGCATGTGCACAGGCCTCAGTGCCATTTGCCATCAAGTTTATTTTATTTTCCTTGGAAGGGGAGTGACGGGGAGAAGAGTGCTGACCTAACTGGTTCTGGGACAGCGCATGGTGTATGGTGTGGGTGCGGGATGCACACCTGTGCACAAGTCTGTGGTGCATCCCTGCTTGTGGGAGTACCTACTGTCATGTTGAGGGCACCTGGTCACCCTCGGCCGCCCGAAGGTCGCACTGGGCCGGGAGTGGAGGCCCCAAGCTCTTGATCGAAACTCTCCAGTCGCTGCGGGCTGGAGCAGTGAGGGTGTCAGTCACCTCTGTGCACGGCTCCGACGAATGCCGAATGCGGCGGCAAGGAGGTTTGATGGGAGACTGGAAATCACACCGTGGACGGACTCCAGGAAGAGCGCGGTGGTCCTGCCCACAGGGACGCACCTGCAGCCTCCGCCCACCCGGCTCACCAGGGCTTCTGGGGGTGGGGAGCAGGACATCTAAGGAGGGCCAGCGGGGAGCAGAGGGGGCACTGCCCTGCAGCCGGAAGTGCAGGAACTTCCCAGCATCTCCGGGGCCCGGCGAGGAGTGTCCCCGTACAGGGAGAAAATCCCGGCTTTCTCACAAGGGCGAATCCCATCCCAAGGCCCCGACTTGGGCGTTTCTGTTGGGGACCACAGTGGCTGCTTTTATAACTTGGAGAAAACAGCAACAGTGACTCTTAATGCTAGTTCGTAGAAAGATCGTTTTTAATAAGAAAGAAAAACAATTTGAAGGCCCCAAAATTTCTCCAAGTGACATAATTTCAAGTAAAGTGAATGTGATTAAAATGTCTTGATTTCACAAAACCGCTCAGCAGAGGCATCTGACAAAAGCGCGTCTGAGGGGCGCCCTGCACTGCAGTCCCGGCTGCCACAAACCTCGGAGTTCCGCTCCGGCCAGCGCGGGGACAGCAGCAGCGGCGAGGCTCCCAAGCGCGGGCGTTCAGGCGTTGGGGTTGGTCCTCATGAGCTCCACATCGGCCTGCACCATCTCCCGCACCAGCTCCTGCAGAGTAGACCGGGTGGCGGTGGGCGGAGCTCCAGCCACCACCTAGGTAACAGCTCCCCGCCCGGGGGCGCCCCGCCCCCCCTGCCCAAGGTCCCTGCGGGGAAGAGACACTCACATCAAAGGCCACCCGCGGCTTCCAGTTCAGCTTCTGCCTCGCTTTGGTGCAGTCTCCCTGCAGAAAGTCCTGGGGAGCGGAGAGGAGGAGGTGGGTCGGGCGGCCCCTGCGTCTCCGCGCCGGCTTCCTGCTCCCAGGTCCTTGCTCGGGCCGAGGTGACCCGAGCAGGGCTCCAGTGCTTAGGGTACCGCCCGCCCTACCAGTCCCAGCTGCATTGCACACCGAGGCCCGCTGTCTACACTGCTTCCCCGCTTTTTTTCTCCAGCAGAGTGTTAGGGACGCTACGGGGAGACCTGTTTCGAATTACAGAGCAGCTTGGCAGAGGAGCGAATGGGCGCGTCCCGCCCTGGGTCCCACGGTGGCACTGCTTCCACCTGGCCACGCGACGTGACAGGACGTGGACGGGGACGCGGGCTCTGCGCCCCGGCTTTCCTGGCCACTGTGAAGGCAGACGCAGGCGCGCGTGCACACACGCACGCACACACGTACAAATACGCGCACACGCAGAGTAGCACGCGCCCCTAAACCGAAACCGGCGCCACAGCAGCACCGCTCATCCTCTGTCCAGGCACTGCATGGTCGTTCTGTCTGCTCGTCCTCTCCTCGGTTGCGAGGGGAAATGCTGCTCTCCATCCATTAGCTCTGGGGCCCCCACCCTGCAGGGACTGGCGCGAGCGCTGTGGCACAGAGCAGTCCGAACCTTCTCCCAAGCGGCCCCTTGCGGGAAGTCGCTGCGCGCCTGGAAAACCCAACCCTCTAAAGGCCTCCACGAGGCAGGCAGCGGGGAAGGCAAAGCCGATCTCCCTGCCAGCCCTGCTGGCAGTTTCTTTACTGTACTGCAGGTCTCTGTCGGCTGAGCGGAGGAGCGCAAGATGAGGGTTTGGAGAGGAGCTGGGGAGAGGGCAGGGGTAGGGGCGGGAGGGAAGGGAAGACCCGTGCTCTGCAGTCCCTGCTAACAGGGGCGCAGGGTGCTACCATTAGTGCGACTTCCCTGGGCAGGCGGTGCAAAGCTGTGGGTCCCGCGCAACAACGAGGGCGGAGGCCGGGTCAGAGGCCCCTGGTGGGGTGTGAGCGCCTCTTTCAGACAACCTATGCTAGTAACTGATCTCCAGGACCACCACCCCCACCGGGCTAAAGGAAACGGCTCCTGGACGCCGCAGGTAGGGTTTTGTCCTAGACTCACTCTGTGAAGGTCGAGCTGGACAAACCCCGGTGGCATCGCCCCTGGGTGCCACCTCCACAGCCCAGCCTGGCACCAGGGCGCCTGAATTTCCCTTTGCGCCCCCGCCCGTGCTCCAGCCCACTCAGGGAGTCTCCCCAGCCATCCGCCCTTGCTCTTAGGCTTGAATGAACCGCACTCTCAAAGGCTTCAGATTTCACAATACCCCAAGTACCTGTTTCCTCCCCAGAGTGTCACTCAGAGTACAAAACAAGCCCTTTCTGCCAGTGTGAAAGCCCATACAGGAATTTCTCGGGAAAGGTAGGACTCAAAAATTAGCAATTAGCACAGTGCCCTCGGAGCGCCAGCTAAGTGGGAAAACCAAGTAATTTATTTCTCTTTCCTTTCCTTAAGTAAACTCGCATAGACTTTCACAATGCTCCTCTTTTACCAGAAGAGTCTCACAAAGACACTCATTCTTTTCCCCAGAGGAAGCTGAGCCGCGTGGCATCCCGAAGCGGCCAGCCCTGCTCTCAGCCTCAGTGCTGCAACAGCTCCCTGTGTGGAGCAGCAGGACCTTCGTTCAGTCCCCAAACGCTGGCTGTCACTCGGCCAGTGCCACGGAGGGTGCAGTTCATGGCTGTGAACTCAGAGTTAGCAAAACCCCAAAACCCAGTTTGGCTTTGAATCATCTCAGGAAGCTTGGGAAAAGGAGCTCTGTATTGTAATTATGTTTGTTGTATTTTTCTACAAGTAGCTCATAATATAAAAACAACCAGGGAACTACAATTAAGGAAAAAGAGAAATGGTTTTCTAAAGCTTAGAAACAGACATCGTCGCTCCCATGCGCTGTAAAAGTATTTCATTGAAACCAGAGAAGGCCCAGTTAAACTTCCCAATTTAGTCTTAAGTCCAGTTCTTACCCTGCAGTTGAGCAGCTTCCTTTAACCTTCTGCCAAGGCCGTGTCTCCCTGAAATGGGATTAGACCAAGAGACTTTGGGAGGGCAGAGTGTGGGGACCCATCAGGACAGCAGGCGGCTCTAGTGCCAGCTGCGAGTCAACATCTGGGCCTGTCCTCATGCTGGTGCCCAGTCGAATCTGAGTTTGTTTTTGTTTTGCAGTGCTGAGGTAGGAACCCAGAGCCTCCCACGTACTAGCAAGTGCTCCACCACCCAGCCATGCCCCAGCCCCTGGTAAGAAGGGACTGAGGCTGTCCCCTTGTTTGGACCTAGCCATTCTGGAAGGGAAGTCTATCTCCCGAAAGGCTGCACAGGCACACCTAGTGTGTGGCGGGCGGCTGTGTGTGAGAGCACAGGCCTGGAGCCTCCGCTATGCACAGCGTCCTCTGGCCTGCAGGGAAGTCAGGTCATGCAAGCTGGACTCTTACCAGAAAGTCAAGGGGGGCAAGAATGGGGGGAGCAAGGTGCTGTGAGCAGGGTGCATGAGGCTACAACACGCCATGTTCATATTGTTTTAAGAGCTTTTGAATGTCTACTCCCCCCCCTCCCCCCACACACACCCTGGATCTCGGGCAGTTCCTGAGGACAAGGGAAAGGAGGGGTTTATCTACTTCTCTCTTCTCTGTGGGGCAGTTTGGCTCCTTCTTTATTTGTAGTCTTAGAGCCATAACAGGACAACGGGGCAGAGCTGAATTAAAGTGATGATTTTATGTATAGTTTCCAGAAAGGACTCTGTGCACTGGGTGGTCTGGAGTCTTTCTGGAAAAAAGACACAAAAACCTCTGAGAAAAATTTAAAGCATTTCTATGTGAATATGACATTTCCTGAACTCTGGCTTCTGGTGTCTTCGCTGTTTTCATTGCTGTTCCTGAGGTGCACTATACAGTTTCAATATGTAATTTATTATTGTCAAATTCAATTAAGTTTAACTGAGCATTTTACAGCAGCAAAACAGCGTAAGCCTTTCCCATTTGTTTCCTCCCTTCTCGAACTCTGCACTGCATGTTATTTGCCTGACAGACTGCCCGTCTGGCTGCAGGGTCCAGGCTCAGGCCCCAAGAGCTCGGCACCCACCTCGGCGCCCACAGCAGCGCCCGGCAGAAGGATGCGCGTAGCTGCAGCGATTTTTCAGGCTTTCCTGGCTCCTACCCTTGCTACAGTGAACTGATAAAGTGCCAGACCAAATCCTGGAAAAGTCATTAAGCAGTTCCTGAGGCCACAGCAGCTCACGGAAAATCCAGGCAAGGAGCCTGCACCAAGCCATTATTGTCCCCTGACTCCAGGGCCCTGTCCTTCCACCCTCGGGGTCCCTTCTCATGGCCCTCAACATCATGTGGCACCTTCACAGTGCACTGGTGACCGTTCTCCTGCCCTAAGCCTTATCCTGATTGTTCTTTACCATCTCAAATCCGTTTGGCACCGCCGCCCCTTTCCCTAAAGTCTGTAGAGGACGTTGTATAGTAAGGAACTGGTATCCCGCTGGGGAACTTTTCTAAGTTCATAATTTCACTCCTTTTCTCCACTGTTCACTGAGTTTGCTTTGGGAAAATTTTAATATTTAGTGTGAAGTGTGCTGGATGCCACATTTCCGCAGCAGGTTTGCCGGATGGGACTGCAGAGAATGCCTGTGGAGGCAGAGACTCGGTTTCTGAGTGTGAGATGGCTCAGAGGACCCCGCCCCATTTGTGACATACACAGTGACAAAAATGCATGCCGAATTGCTCTAAGGAAAAGGCGCAGAGACAGTGGATGTCAAGACCGATGGAAACCTGGTTAAATATCTTCAGGAATGTTAGTCATGGAGCCAAGAGTGGCACAAAATATATTCAGTTTTTCCTCCTGTTTCTCTTAGAAAAGCAAGGGAACAGAAGAATGCCCGTGAATTAGGTCTCGATCTAACTTTATGCTAACGGAGACTAGGGAAGGCCCACTCTGGGGCGATGTTTTTTCTGGGAAAGACAGGACTGCAGTGCAACCCCAGGAAGACACTTGCACAGAGCAAGGCTGGACAAGCAAGACACTCAGCCTGCGAGCTCCCCAGGAAGACATGGCAGGGTCTCTGCCCGGCAGCTGGGCTCTCCCAGCTCCCGTGTGTGCCTGGTTGAATCTGTGGTGGGCGCGAATGAAGCTGGGAGCAGGAGGAAATGAAGGGCGGCATGTGGGACGGGAACGAGACCTCCCTCTGCCTTCCCCTTCACTGCTGTGTATTAGCGCAAATTGAAGCTGAAGCCAGGCCGCTCTTTTAATGACAAGGGGTGATAAGACACAAGAAGAAATCAGCAGGTCGTGTGTCTGCTCAGGAGGCAGCTTGGGGACGGGACCCTCCATCAGCAGGCGGCCTGGCCTCTGCCAGCCTCAGGGAAATCGAGTCAGTCTGCATGGCCCCAGTGAGTGGAGGTGAGGCATAGTGCTCAGGCCTTGCACAAGGGTCCTGGACTCCAGACACCCACCCCAGGGCCCTCTCACTGTCCCCCTGTCCCTGCCCTACTGGTGGCCTCAACTGTGAGCCCCATGAGTCACGGGTCAGACACGCCTGTCTGTCCTCCTGAATGGCACCAGTGCAGGGGTCTTCAGGATTCAAGTCTCCTCCTTGATCCCATTTTTTGGGAGGGGGCTGCTTAATTGGTCAAATTCGTCATTTGGGGCCAGCAGCTGTGAAGGGCTCCTAACCCAGGGAAGGCAGCACGCCCAGCAATGTGTGTGCCTGGGTCTGAGGAAAGTGGCATGTGGCCAGGAGCTGCCGTAGGCAGCACACACCGGTGCTCCCAGTGTTGCCTGTGAATGCCACAGAGGTGTGGCCAAGAGATGAAAGTCATTTGTTTGATGAAGAAGAGCTTAGTTATCCATTGGCAATGCAGCCTATGCAGCGATGCACCTTTCTAACTTTTATTTAAACCAACGGTGGAAATGTAGTTAGGCAAAAAGAGCTCACGGGCCATACCAACAATGC